TATCCTGCTGGGTTTACTGATCTCCCCATCCGGTATCTGTTCAGGTTCCTCTGGAAGATTTCATCCAAAATAAATGCTCTTTCCTAAACAAAGGTAGGAAAAACATTTGTTCCTTATCTGAGCCCTCAGTGACTTGCCTGCTTTGGAGGAAACAAGGACACAGCACAAAAGACACCTGACTGACAAGTTCCACTTTTTGGTAACTTTATGGCAAGAGACCAAAAAATCAAAGCCTGTTTTCCAAACCTGGGGATTTGTGCCTCACACAGTCTGGTGCTCAGGAATGGCTTCTGCTCACAAGCAGCAGACTGATGTCTGTCAAACTCCTGTCCTTCCTAGAGCTGGGAGGATGCAGTGAAGGTTACTCTCTGCGTGGCACACACAAAATGCTCCTATGCAAAACCTGCACAACTACAAAATCTGCAAGAAAGAGATATCCCAGTCAAACCAAGCTGCCACTCACTGTTTTGCAGACAGTTATAAAATGATCAAGCAATGTGGATTTTTTTTAACAACTGAGAAACAAGGATCTCATTAAAGCCACTGGCTTTAACCCTGAAGCATGAAAACTCAGCAGGAATTACCCACTGAAATCCTTAGAAGAAGATATATTTACCACACCTAAAAAACCAAACCAATCCAAACCAAAAAACGAACCAACCAAACACACAAAAAACCCCAAAGAAACAGAAAAAAACCACCAAAAAAACAACCTAGCAAAAAACAAAAACACAAAACCAAACAAAAGCCAAAAGAACACCCCACCTTAATCTCATATTCAAACCAAAAGAACACCCCACCTTAATCTCATATTCAAACATCAATTTGAATAAGTTTTGTTGGAACACCACAAAAACAACCAATCTGCAGCTAAAAACACAGGAATTTCCAGTCCAGACAGTTGATTTGTCAAAGGCACGCGTTATTTGAAATTAGATGGGAGTAACTGCCTGGTTGAGATGGGAGTAACAAAACCCATCTCAACCACAGGCGTGCTCATCTGAGCCATCTACAACAATGGAAAAACCAACATTCCCCTTGGGGATTAAAAAAAATCCCCAGCAACCAAGTCCCAAACTGCCTGAGCTTACAGCCAAGGAAAAATAATACAAATGAGGCTGCCCTGTGTATTAAATTTTTGTTCTTTGTTGGCTATTAATAGGCAAGTGTGGTGAATGTAAGATTATATTCAGATCATTTCTAGCCTTCTACCAGCACGTTCTTCCCTTCCTTCCCCAGAGCTTTCTGTCTTCCCAGCCCAGGCCGCATTTCAGGGAGCTCTGACTGCAGCATCAGAGGCAGGAGCCACAGGAAGGGCAGGACAGCTCCTACACTGCCTCAAGCCACTCCTGCTGCTCTTGGGTCTTCCTTCAAAGAGCCTGGCATGCCACCAACACCAGCAAGAGCTTGTCCAGAGATTAAAAAGGCACCTTTCTTATACAGATATATAAAACAAGCCACTTGAGGAGCTGCAGGAGCTGCAGTTACTTTGCACAGCACCACTTTCTGTACCAGCTGCCCCATCAGGTGCCAGGAACAGCCTGTTCCTCTCACCCCTGACACCTCATTTGGTGCAGAGACTTCACCATGAATTTATTTCTCCTGAAAAGCTGGAAGTCACTGCTTTGGTACATTCCCATGCTCTTTAATTATGTAATTGTTCCATGACAGCTCAGTTCCAGCAGCTCTTCCCTGTGTGTCAGGCTCACTTCTGCCAGCACCAGTGAACCTGCACACAGGCTCAGGATTCCAGCAGCATAAATAACTGCAGTGGCACTCTGTGACACTTCACAGGCTGCTGCTGCTGCTTGTCATTGACCAGGCCTGTGGGTGAAGAGATCAGAACTGGGGAACTACAAATCAGAGCTGCCTGTCCCACATGCTGAATGCTTTTTGTGACCACTGCCACACCAAGTCATTCTCTTTTGACATGGGCATGAATGCAAGCACAGTTACAAAGAGGAGCAACACGCGGCCTCCAGGACAGGCAGACACAATAGCCCAGCCCTGGCTGTGGGTGTTATCAAAGCATGGCTTCAGGTCAAGGAAGTTCTTTGAGGGACAGACAACAAAGGACTGACTGCCAAAAATTTACGGGTGACGAAAATGTGAAAGGTTATTCTCAGCTGTGAATTTCACAATAAAACTGTGTCAGTGACATACCCTGCCAATAGCTCAGAATTTACTGCAGAAAATGCTGGTGGGCACCTCCTGCCATGGCACAGGGGCTCCAAGTCCTGCAATGAATGCAATGGATGGTGCTGATGAATGGCACGCTCTTGCAAAAGGCCTGGCAATTCTCTATGGCAGAGATCACCAAGAAAATACTCTGTAAGTTTAGAAAAGGATACACATTTAAACCTTAGCAGTTTTGTAACAATACACTTGCCTTGGGGAAACAAAATGTCCAGGAAAAAACGGCAGCTACAGTGGCAACTCCTCCCTGCACCCCTCAATGTGACATTTTGCTCGCCTTGATTCCTATCCCTCAGCCTCATCTCTCAGCCCTTGCCTTTCCTTCTCAGCTTTCCACCAGGACACCAACAGCTCTGAAGCAACAACCAGCAATGAGAAATCAGAAAAGTGAGGCATACCAATAGGAAAGGCTCCTCCCAGCTCTAATGGCTCTGGCATTCACAAACATTTACCTCCAAGACAAGAAATTCATTACCTGGTCAGGCAATAGGATTTACATAAGCCTCCACAGCAGTGCTTTCTGTCCTTGATGCTGGTGCTTTGTAGTTCCACCAACATTAACTTGAGTGTGTAAAAACTTTCCCTTGCAAAGTAAAACGAAGCAGCTTCTCTGGTTGCTTTTGGGAAAAAAATTAAGTGCAACAGCTCAATACCTAAACACACCTCTCCAGGTTCTGAGAATGTCCAGTATCTTGTACAACAGCACAATAATTAGTATTCAAAATTTCCCCAGATCATTTTGAAACAGGAATTAAATTTCAGTTTCATCTTACTGCTTTGTCAGAGAAAACTGTTGCAAATGGAGCTTACAGAAACAAAAGATATTTAAAAAAAAAGGAAAGAAAAAAATCACTCCTCTGACTTGGGGAGCAAAACAGATGCACAAACCCACAGAAATGATGCCATGTCCTCTGATCAGCTGTGCTGACCCCTCTCAGAGGGATGGGAAAGGACACATTATAGGTGAATTCTATTTGATTTATGTAAATACAAGCAGAACAATCAGCTAGTGCTAAAACAGAAAAAGCATCAAAGAGCTTAAGGAAAACACTGGGATGGAGGAACTGAAAGGAGGTGAAGAATGAACAAGCCAGGATCTGAGACTCAAAGGGCAGAGTACCCAAAGCTGGAGCTCTCCTGCACTCCCACTGCCATTCCCAGGCACTCTGTGGAGCAGGGCACAAAGGTTACAGATGGCTGAGCACAGTTTGGAGGCAGCCAAAGGCAGGCAGCCCCTCCAGTCTCAGCTCTGTGTGCAAGGATGATCTGTGCAGCGCTGAGTCGCACTCCTGTGCTACGTTATTTGTTTTACAGTATCACTGCAACCATTTGTTTGGGTTTGTTTCAGCCCAGTAGCCAACAGGAACAGGCCCACAGGAGAGTACCCTGTGTATATTCCTTCTCTCTGTCCTTTTCTCCATCTCCACTATCAATAATTATCAGTGCATGGACCCATTTCCACTGAACTCAGGAAAACAGGGATCTCAAAATATGTAAGTACCTCTCTATTGTTAAAAATATTAATTTCTTAGAAGAGAGATGTTTAATTTCTCTCCCACAAGCAATGTCCTATTAAAGTAAGGATGTGGGGGAAAAAAACTATCAGACACCAAAGAAGCCACATAAGTGAACCAGAAAAAAGCAGCCTTCAAAATAAAATTCTACTGCTTGAAGCAGTGCTTACTCTTGGACATAATTTATAGTTATGTTTACTCTCTCACCTAACACTCTGTTAGTCTAGTGAGCCTAATTTAGTAGAAACCATTCTAGAAAACAGACCTGCAGGCAACTAAATAAACTACAGCATTCATACAGGGAAATCAACCTTCCTTTTGTATAAAAAAGTCAAGTTCCACAAATCTACAGGATTTCTCACAAGGCCTCCCTTACACCAGTGGACTGTACTCGACAAAGGCTGCTTTAATTTCCAAGAGACATTTAACAAGATTCTTCAGAAAAGGCCCTTAAAGAAATGAGGCTGCCATGGCAACAAGAGCCCTGGCAGGGACAGGTTACCTGGTGAGGAGACAGGAGACAAAGAGCAAACCAAGGGTTCATCTCTGACTGCACAGGAGGCCCAGGGGAGTCCCAGGAATGCAGGGCACCAGGAGTCCCCAAGGTGATCTGTGAGGTCCCTTCCAACCCAAACAAGCCCATGACATCATGAGTGAGCTGGAGGCCACGCTGGGACCCTTCCATGTGGAACAGAATGCCAGCAAGGTGCTGATGGCTCCAGGCTACTCTGGCAGGGCAGGAGCAGCCCGAGGAAGGGAAGCACAAAGGCTGCAGAGAGCAGAGCTGGCAGGGGCACTCAGGAGGGTGAGAGTCACCCACAGAATCCCAGCTGCGCACAGAGCAATGGGCTCCAAGCTCAACACCCACAGCCAGCACAGCTGGGCCAACCTGAACCTCTCAGCTGAAGGATCCCCATCTCCAGGACCATTTTTCCTCAGAAGTATTCCTGCCACTGACCTTGCATCAGCTCTATCACCTCCTGACTCTGACAGCCTGACTGGATTCACTCACTGGGCAGAAACACCTCCCTCACAATCAGAGCAGTTTGAATTCCAGGTGGGGAATTGAGCTCCAGGGAAGGTCAAGGCAGCAGCAGCACAAAGGGAAGGGAGAGCTGTACAGCTGTGGAGACACAGATTCCTCTCAGTTGAGGCTGCCTGGCAGAGCAGCTCAACCATCTTGAGCAATTCCACTGGCAGCAACAGCACATGTGGTCTGAATGAACAGATCCAGAAATTAACAATGCAAAACTGGCACACTGAGCATGCACTTAAGGTGGAATTCATTACCCGTTGGCAAATGAAGTTTCATTTTCCACTTATAAACACAAACATGTTGGTATCTTCCAGGTCCTTGGGGATTCTAACCCTAAAAGGAGAGAGAGAAACCCTCATGTGGGGGAGAGCAAACAGATACTCAGCTTGTTATTGGATTTTGGTTTCAAAAAACACCTCCACATGGTAGGCTGTAATACTTCAAAATGTATTCAAGATTAATTGGTTTGATCTTTATTATTTTATTGTAGAAAAATAGTTGACATTTAGAAACATTTCTGACACACAGGATAATCCCTAAGTAACTCTCCAAAGAAATACCTTTTTCCTATGAGCTGAACAATCTGTCAACACTGCTTTCATTCAGCTAATCTGCCAATATAATACAAGTCTGCTATTTGTAGAGTTACAGAATATAAACTCACTAGATTTATTTATAGAATAAATAACATATCTGCTGCTGAAACCTTGCACAGCAAGGAACACAGTTGGCTGGATGTTCCCTCACGCTGCTTTCTAGTAAAACATTACTTTGGGAACCACCTGAAACAACCTGCCCTCCAGCTGAAGGGGGACAGGCTTAAGAATTCCACCTTCTGCTCCTAATTGTGAAATAAATGATTAATAACTGTGTGACTGAAGCTCACAACACACTCCCACTCTCATGTCTGATAATGCTGACTAGTGTGGCTGAGAGCCTGTCCCACCACACCATGTGCAGCCTTTTTGTGTCCTTTAAGACCCAAATTCCCTCTGGGCACGATGAGCAGCAGCTCAGGGACTGGGTGCTGGTGGCTTTGGCCAGCCAGTGCTCCCAGCTCTGGGCACAGAGAGCAGCACCCACCAAAGTCAGGGGCCTGAAGGCATGAAAACCTTCTATCTGCACTCCTTGTACTTCATATGGAATTACCTACAGTTATAAATAGGCATTTACTCCACAGATATTCCAAAATTAAGGCAGAGTTACCAAGTTTACCAAGTCCATGTCACACCTACAGCTCAGAACAGGACACAGGTGACACTTTGGGCCCTGATGGATCTTGTTGGAGGCATCCTGCTATCTCAAGCACACTGTTATTATTTAAAAGCATTTTCCAAACTAATAATGCCTGCAGGGATGCAAATGAGGAAATGTGGCAAAGCCAGGAGCAGGGATCCTTCAAACCACAGGGAGAGCACCTGAGCTCCTGGGTGTTCTCTGAGTGACACAAAATACTGCAACCATTGCCTGCAGTCAGACTTCCAACAGGACATATCAGAAATTAAATTAGCACATTGCTACAAAATCACAACTAAGGACAACATTCCCTCTGCAGTTCCTTCCTTTAACCCTGAAGGTGAGGTCTGCCTTTAAAAAAAAACAGAGTGCACCTTCACAAAACAACACTTATTTTTGAAAGTGTTTTTCAGACTGAAAAGTTGCAAGAGGTCATAATAACACTCTCTAAACCACATATTTTCTAAGGGAACAAAGAAATAGGTTTCTGTGTTCTGATCACATATTGAACACCCAAACCAACAAAACTACATCACTATGGAAAAGCAAAATACTGCATATCCCTGGATGCCGTGGGCAGAAACAACAAAACAATTATCAGCTTATGAACTCAAAACCTTGTAGGATTTCCCTTTCTTCTCCAAGAACAAAAACCAACTCTAGTCCTTTCTGTTTTTAGCCAAATGAGCACACACAGTGGCTTTGCAAGCCAGAGATGACAATCTGCAACTGGAGCTTCAGAGCTCCACTGATAAATGAGAGTGACTACAACTGGAGCTTCAGAGCTCCACTGATAAATGAGAGTGACTACAAGTAAACCCCCAAAACTTTAAAGAAAGCAGGAAGTATCTTGCAGACATGGGCTGGCATTTTAAGTCCTGAAGTCAACAGAGCAAATTGAGATAAGGCATTTCCTTATCTTGGCACCAGATTCAGCATCACCTTCTGGGTCTAACTCCAAGCAGAAGCCAGAGCCTCATCCCAGAACTCCAAGGTGCAGCACAGGGAGATCCCAGAGAGGCAAATCACCCATTCACCAGTGCTGCAGTGGAATTCTGGCTTTCACATCCCTGCACAACTTCAGCAGAGTTTGCCTCTTTCAGTATGTCTTGTGGTAATTACAGATCTGGCACTCTGGAATTCTCAGCAGGGTGTGAGAGGCTTTTGTGCACATTACCAGCAAACAAACCACAGTATTACCATAAAGGCATGTTCTCATCCCACTAAATGGACTCTTCTTAGAAAGTCATCACAATTCAGCATTTCTCTCACTGCATCTTTACACTTCTATGGGCTCACTTGCCCACTAAAATGTTATTTAAATTACCAGTATTTAGCCAACTTGTACCAGGACATGTCTTTACAACCAAGAGAAAGAAATGAGAGATTCCGCAGTCACCAAAACAAACTCGAGGTACATTTTGTTCTTTCAAATGAAAAATATTCACTTGCTGAGTTTCTGACTACCCCAAGGAACAAATTTTGTCATTGCATCCAAGTATGAACTATAACATTGTTCACAAACCTTCTCCACTCTCCGAAGTGCACTGCAGTTGCAGAAGAAGTCACGTCCAAGTCTGCACACCATGAAGGGCAGGCTGTGGACAGGGACAGGAGGTGACAAGCTCAGAGACCCCGGGCACAGGGCTCCAGCAGCAGGGTTCCAGCTGCCCTCACAACTTCAGACCACAGCATCCTGGCTGGGACATTTGGCCAGAAATGCTGGCCCTCAGTGAACCAGCCACCTCCAGCACTTGGTGAAATGTTAGGAAGCACCAGAGGCTGTGGACTGCAGTCCCCTGGAGACAGGGGCTCTAGATGGATGAAGTGCTCTCAACCTCCAGAACTGGCATTAATTGTTCACCCAGCTTCAAGAAAGCCCCATTCCCACTACCCACTCTCACTGATGTAAATCCATGTGTCCATCAGCAGCAGCAACACAGAATTTCAACTGCACACTCTCTGTTGAGCAGCCAGTACTAGTTACATCCTCTCAGATTAATCACAACCCTGAAGTCAGCTCCTGCTCACAAGGAAATCCTGCTGCATCACGGGTTAGTGTGTCATTTCAAAACCCTCTGCACCCCTATGTGTATTTTCTCAGGCTTTCCAACAAGAAGTCATCACAGTTGAGTCAGAAAGAAAAAAAATCATAAAGAAAGAATAAACTGGCTCCTAATTTTGTAATAGGAAGAACTTCTTCACATGGTCAGAACACCTTTTGACAGACAACCTGCACACTGCCTTGTGGCCCGGTGATTTCTTCAGGGGTGGATGGGTTACACAGTACAAACACTCATCAAATAACCTTGCTATAGCACTAGGCAAGACCAAACTGCTCTGGATCCAAAGAACTTGCATGGATCCTTCTGTCACACCTCTCCTTTTTCGCTAGTGTAATAACATGGAAAAGTTACTGAACCCAAACATTAAAGTCACCTATCCCACCAAACACAGGACACAGTTTAATAACAGTTGCATTGGTGGTGTGATCTGGAGAAGGTTTTTCATTCCTCAGCAACCTCAACAATAGATGCTTTCACTAGACTAACTCTACACAGCTACAAAATTGTGTGAAATGCAACTGAAATAATCAATACTCACAAAGCAGCTCAATTCAGTTTAATTAAACTCACACTGTCTTCCCAGAAACTAAGTTTTTGACACTGGTATTGGCAGTCATGTCCCTTTAAGTTTCTCCATGGATACTACAACTATTTTCTTTCCCCCAAGTCACGCTTCCTCCCAGCCACTGCTCACACTCCCTGTTCCATCCCAGGAACACAGGGAAGCAGAGTGCAGCTGTCCACCACTAACCACGATGGGCCAAGTGACCAGCACCCAGCACCGAAGCCTTCCACTGCTCCAAGCACAACCTTTGCTGCGTCTGAGCCCAACAGGGCAGGACCCCAGCCCGGTTTTGTGCCTCTCCCCCGCTCGCAGCCCCGGCCACAAGGCACTGCCTGCACTTGGCTGCTCCCGGAGCCGCGGATCGCTGGATCCCGGCTCCGCTCCCGCCATCCCCGGGGCTCGGCGCGCTGCTTTTCCCATTTGAAGCACGGGGCAGCCCCATGGCTGCGTGACACGGTTCTGTCCCCCGGGCCGGCCGACGGGCGGCCGCTCGCCCCGGTGCCACCGCACTGGAAACTCGGGGATGAGCAACAGGAGCGGCGGGCGGGGGTCCCCGGCCCCGGGGCTGCCCCCCGGCCTGGCCCCCCTGGATCCCGGCCAGGCGCTCGGGCGGCCCGGGCGCTCCCGTGGGCTGGGTCCCGGCGGCGGGCCGGGCCGGGCCAAAGGCGGGTCGGGCCGCCCACCGGCTCCCGGAACTTTCCCTCCTCCGCCGCCGCCCGGGGCCGGCCGGGGGCCGCCGCCACCGAGCCCCGCGCGGCGGAAGCGCCACCCCCGCTCCTCCCGAGCATCCCCCGTCGCCCCCACAGGCCCGCCGCGGCCGCCACCACCCGGAGCGGGGCGCAGGCCCGGCGGCGGGGGAGGCCGGCCCGGCTCGGCCCCGCGCCCCCGGCAAAGCCCCGGCGGGGACAATGAGATGGCGGCGAAGAGCGCCGCGCCCGGGGGACCCGTTGCTCCGGCAGGAGCCGCCCCGCCCCGCGCCGCCTCCTCTTCCCTCCCCTCCCCTTCTCCTCTCTCCTCGCACGGGCAGCGCCCGCTCCCGGCCCGGCCGCCGCGGAGACCGAGCGAGCGAGCGAGCGGCCCCGGCCCCGCTGCCCCCGCCCCTCGCGCCTCCATCTTGGATCGGCGCCTCCCGCGCGCTCCCTCCCCGCGCGCCGCGCTCACCTCGGGCCGCGCCGCGGCGGCGCCCCGGGAGCGCCCCGGGAGCGCTGCGGGAGCGGCGGCGGCGCGCGGGGTCCGGCGGGCGCGGGCCGGGGCCGGGGCGGCGGCGCTGGCGGGGCCCGCGCGGGGCTCAGCGGGGCCGCGATCCTAAACCGCCACCTGGCGGCATTTCCGACCCGCCACGGCGCAGCCGCCCCGCGCGCCGGGCGCGCAGCGCCCCCTGCCGCCCGCGCCGCCGCACCGCGCGCGCCCGGCCCCGCGCCGCCGCGCGACCGCGCCGCCGCGCGACCGCGCCGCGCGCAGAGGAAGGGGCGGGAACGAGGGGAAGCGGCCCCGCCCCGGCGCGCGCGGCACGCGGGAAAACGTCTTTCGCGCGGAAACGGCCGCGCGTGCGCCGCGTGCCCGCAAACACCGCCCGGCGGGGGGCGACTGTCGCGACAGAGCCGGCAGGGACAGGGGCACCGCGGCGGGGGTGTCTGTCACGACAGAGAGGGGGCAGGGCACAGACTCGGGCCCAGTGAAGCGGCGGGGACAGGGACACGGGTGGGGGAAGGAGGTCATGACTGTCGCGACAGAACAGGGGCGAGGGCCCAGCCTGGCCGGAGCGCCTCCCCAGCCCGCGGCCGGGCCTCGGCGGGCGCGCTCCCGGCGCCAGGGCGGTGGCAGTGATGCGCCTGGGGCCCAGCGGGGCCCGCGCTCTCCGCCACGGCGGGGGCGGTCACGAAGGGCGCGGCACGGCGGGGACCGAGCCCGGGCAGCCACCGCCCTCCGCCCGCTGCTGCCCGGAGGGGCTTCCTACAGCCGCGCCGGGGTTCCCATGGAGACGCCCCGCGTCCTCTGACGAGTGCCCTCTTATCGGCGACAATTGCCATCGCGATTGGTGCCGCCCTCCTCGCAGCGCTCCCGAGCTCGGTCGTTTTGCGGGCGACTGTCCCCTCCTGCACACCCCGCACGCACCGCTGGCTAACGGGGGGCGCAGATTGATGGGAGAGGATCCAAAGCAGTGAGTGAGGGATCTCTAATCTCGACCTGTCATCTGCTGCCATGGACCGAAGGTGCCGTCTCGTGCTTCACTCCATTGTAATGTATCTCTTAAAACCTTTCTTACATCTAACTGAGCTATTTTCCTGTGCTGTATTTCAGTGTTAGTGAATTCTCTGTTCTTTCCCTGTGCCTGGAATTGCTATCTGAAGGGGTTTGCTCAGATAAGGGTTTTTGGAATGGGAAGTTTGCAGTCAAAGTGTCTGTTCTCTCAAAATCACTTGATACAAGTGTTCATGCTGCAGAGGTAGAAGCTGCAGCAGGCAACAGGCATGAATGGAGAAATTAGAAACTAGTACTTTTTCATGGAAATGGCTGCAGATGGAGCCCATATTCAGCAAGAGTATAGAGAAAGCAAGGAGAATTAAAGGTATATCCCATCAAATGAGGTTCCTTCAGTGAGCTAGCACAAATAGAGGTTGTTTTTTGGGTAGCAAAATATTATCAGAAATGTACTGACAACTCATGGGACTTCGGTGTAGGGTTTGTATTTGTATTCAGTGAAGGTTGTACTGGCTCTTCCTTCAGGCAGTGCTGCTGGATGTAACTCAATTAATTTGAAGACACGGGATACTGGTTTGTTGGTTTGTGTATAATGCTTGCTCTTCTGCTTAAGTGCTGAAAACTCCTTTCATGTAATTGCTTCTTCATTTTCTTAAATACCTTTTGCTATTCATTAAATTTTAATAAAGACTTGAGTTTCTTGGAATGTATTTTTAATCAAATTGATTTATGTCAATCTGGCAAAAAAGATAAAGGTACTGGTACACCACCTGAATGTAGATCCCTTGGCATGTGCAGTTGCCTGAAGTATGAAACACTGAAGATCTCCAGGTGGTTTAATAGTGCTGAAACAGGACTTCAGGAGATTTTCCTGCACCTGATAAGGAATCAAAACAAAATCCCTTATGCTGGGAAGTCAGTGCACACACATGCTTAAAGAAGGTGGCACGAGTTCAGTCAGTTCCGTGGGTTTCCAGGGGTGGGTGTTTCCTTTGTGTGATGTTCAGGGAGAATTGTCAGTCTGTAGTTATCCTGTAGAGACTGCTCACAGCCCTCTGGTAGTTTCAGCCTGATCTGGTCAGGATTGGGGAATTTTCCACAGAAGAGGCAAAGGAGCATTCCTATGGAGCCTGTCTTTCAGAAAGCAGGGGTAGCTGACTTATTCCCAACTCCATATCCCTGCCTGGAATTGCCACATATGTGAGTCTTCCATAATAACACTTCAGTAGCCTGACTGACTTTAACCAATCTGGCAGAAGATCAGAGAAATTTTTTTTGTGAGTTTATTCGAGATTGGTGGTGTGGATCACCAGACCTCAAAGCCCTCATTCCTTCAGGCACAGGAGGAGAGTTCAGGCTCCCACCCCCTGCAGTCAGGGGGCAGCTAATCATCACCCATTTGTACCTGGCTAACCAGCACTTGCAGTGGTTGAGGAAAGGAGGGAGGGGAGTATTCACGTTTTTTTCTTCTAAAAGAAATCATGGTTTGTATTCTATCAATGATCTGTACCATTTATTTCATCTCCATTTGTTATTTGTTCCCCTAGGGAAAACTGGATTCACACTTTGCAGTCAGTGATTTAAATGAGTGTCCCAGGCAGAATTGGGAATGTTTGTTATGTAACTTGAGAATTTTTGCATAGTGCTTCATCTTCAGCCTTGTATTAAACTTGATTTGAAATCAACTTGTGTTTTTAATAGAAAATGCAAATAAGCCACGTTAAGTTTCCAGATATGAAGGAAAAATAAAAAGTTCATGTCATTTCCACAAAAGGCATGAGCAGAAAGAGAAGTAGCAAGTTGTCTGTATAGGCTGTGCTGATTTCTGTCTATTTTAAATTTGTGTCAGGGACACACATAATGGATCTGGGATATGCCCTAAACTCAGTCTCCATAGAAAATCTCACTGGTTAAGAAGTGAGGTCACCAAAGACTACAAACAAATGTACTCTGGGAGGGTTGGCATTCCATTTGTCATACACTCAGTATTCAGTTGGGAAAATGAAAATTTGGGCAAAGCATTCCTGTTATTTATTTTTTTGTTCTTTATTACTTCCCATCTCCTGCCTTTCACACGTGTTTGCCCTTCCACTTTCCAGACTCCCAAGTGTTCTGGTTCCCAGCTGAGCAGCTCTGTGCAGAACAGCCATTTTGAGCTACAGGATCACCATCTATTGTTTTCCTCCAGAGGGATCCCTGAATACATTGCACAAGTCCAGTGCCACATTCGAAACTGTTATGTTGAATTTGCAACTATTTGTTGAAAGAAAATGTAATCTAAAGCCAGGAACCAAGAAAGTTACTGTTGTATGCTCATAGTAACAAATGAGCTGTTTTGGTTTTGTTTTCAGGAACAGTTGCAGTATTTACTCAGCTGTTTCTTAAGGAAACTAATGAGTTTACCCAGTGGCCTTCTGTCAATCTAATAATAATTCCTGTTGTCCGCTTTTGTCTTCTTTTCCTCCCATTTATTTTATTCACGATCCAGTATGTTGTGCCTTAAAGCAAGAAAGTCTTCATTTTTTTAAGGCTGCAAGGCAAAACTGTGGATTGTAACACAATGAAATGCTAGGTAGGAAAAGCTGTGCAGGTGAAAATCACTGCCTTCCTGGGCTCACTCGGTGCGGTTTGCATTTGCATGTTAAGATTCGGAAATGAATGGTTTAACTGAAGGAAAAGTGAAGGTAGCAGGTGAGCCTGGGGCAGAGTTCCGGCAGGTGTTGGTAGATGTTGGTGTGTTGTTTGAAGTGCCCGCTGGCACAGCTGGTACCCAGCTCTGTTTACTCTCGCTGGTTCATCTGCTCGTTCCCAAGCTCCTTGCCCAGCAAGCTGCCCATGGACACTCGGAATGCTCCTCACCGTGCTGGGGGGCTCTGGCCCTGGGGCTGCAGCTCAAAAACGTGATCAGCAGTGCTGGGCAAGGCCTCCTGAGTGATGGGGGGACTCGACAGAGTCCTCAGCCCTGGTACCTGTGCAGGTCCAAACTGGTGCTGCTGCTTCCCCCCGAGCTCGGACCGGTGCCTGCCCGTGTCCCCTCCGAGGAGAGCAGGAGTCGGCCGCAGCTCAGTTGGGTGTAGCAGGGGGTTAATGAACACTCAGCCTGTGAGGGAAAAGGCAGACTGTCCCATTCTCATGTAAATTAATTTGCCGGAGCCGCAGGCAGTGCTTGGCTGTCACAGATCACAAGCACAGAGAATGCCAAGGCTGAAGCTGGCCGCGGTATTTTCAGTGTTTCTGTGAGGAACTACTGCCCGCACTTTACCACTGCCTTTAGCCCCGT